TGTACTCGCGAGCACATGACACTAGTGGACACCAAGTTCTCCCAACCACACGCCAAGCGATGCACCTGGTGGCACCCAGCGCGCTCCACAGGCCACATCCTCGATCATGTCCTAACACCAGCGCATCAGCTCCGCTACTTTGACAACGTCAAAACGGTGCATGAAGGCCGCCGAGGCAACGCTGGCACTCCTCTTCGCCGGGTCGATCCCCAGCATGTTGCTCCATCTGATCGGCTGTATTGGGACGACTTCACGGACCACCTCCCGGTGGAAATCAAGTTCCACTACTGGCCCCGGTTCGCCCCTCGTCCGTCTGATCCGGTGACGACCCCACGTCCACAGGTTAACCGCCTGGCTCTCCCCGGCGTACAAAGCCACATCCTTCAACAACACTGGCATCGACAATTGGACCAAGCCCTCCACGCTGCCGGTGCACATCAGCAACAACTGAGCTGGGATACTCTCTCCTCCCTCTGTCTGCACACATCCACAGCCGTCCTAGGTCTCCAACACAAAATCAGTAAGCGTCCCCATCTCGTCGGCCATGAAATCGAGAACGCACAATTGGACATAGCTGTTCATGATGCACACGCATACCTGCGAACTTTTGACCATGACATGTTACCACGAGATGCAGCACGCCAACACATGTATGATGATGCCAAACACGCATACCGACAAGCTGGACACCATCGACGTCAGACACGCTTGCGTTGGAAATGGACCTGGTTGGACTCTCTTACGGATGAACTAATCACTGCGCAACAACAAGGGGATTCTCGGTCCGTTTTTGCTATCCATAAGATATTAGGCCTCCGGGACCACTACTTAAAACGCAGCCCACATACACACACTGTCCCCAACCCCGAAGCAGAACGCGAAGCCTGGAAACTTCATTTTCAACAACTGCAAGCCGGCCGCGAACACGCAGCCGCACATGTTTGGAACAATGTCGCCCGCGGTAACCCGGCCGGCCCCGCATTAAGCACCCCCCCGAGTGATGAAGAATTAGCTGCCTGTGCCAAACATATGAAAAACGGTAAAGCAGCGGGGTCCGATGGTTTCCTAGCTGAGTTCTACAAATATGGTAGCCCCACACTACGTAATCAAATCAATAATTTGGTCCGACACATGTGGCAGGCGGCTACCGAAGCACCCCCCGGACAAGAAGCAACCAACTGGCCCACCGCATGGAACACGGGCACCGTCATCCCACTATGGAAAAAGAAAGGTTCCCCACAAGATAAAAACACATATCGCGGTATCACATTGCTGAGCGTGGGGTCCAAACTTTTAGCTAGGGTAGTGGCACAAAGACTCCAAACGTGGACCGAAACTTGGCTTCATGAAACACAAATGGGGTTTCGACGCGACAGATCCGTAGATGATGCCTTACAGGTCACTAGGCGCATCGTCGAAGAAGCGGCGGCTAGTCACGAAACACAGGATGTTGTCTTGATCCGGCTGTTTGACATAGAGAAAGCCTACCCGCGCGTCAGTCGAGACACACTATGGACCTTACTGGCACACAAGGGCGCTCCAGCTGAGTTTATTAACGTTTGCAAGGCGTTGCATGAACACACACAATATGTGGTTCGCATCCATAAAGGTTTCTCCACCCCCTACTCAGTAGATAAGGGCCTGCGCGAGGGATGTCCATCATCACCCCCTCTCTTTAACCTGTATCATCACGCTGTGATGGAAGACTTCCGCGTCCGCCGCGCACAACAGGCAAACCAATCCGGTTACTCCCCAGGGATCCCCTGGACAACCAAGATAGACGGTAGGGTCCACCATGGATATCATAGCCGGCAACATTTACACAAAAAGGCCGAACAAACAGTCCTAGGAGACATAGGTTTTGCGGATGACACAGGACTAGTTGGACTCGCCGCAGAAATGAGTCAGGCCGAAATCCTGTTGGAAACCACGATGCGGGATTGGCAAGAAAAGGTGCACCCGGAAAAAACGGAAGGGCTTCGTTTGCAGACCTTCCCTCGCGCACCTACTGATGTCCGTCACAAAGGGGAACAAGCAACCATCCGTCATGTCGGGGGTTTTTTACAAGAATCCGGAAGCACCCACACCGATACCATGACCAGAAAGTCTAGAGCCTATCACAAAATTTATCAAACAGCTAAGGCATGGCACTTTGGGGCCCGTGCAACACGCCGGAATTTGCCGCACAGCTTACGCATCCGGATAATGAAAGCAGTAGTAATGCCGACGCTCACCAGCTTTGGCCGTTCTCGAGCATGGAACCGCGAACAAATTAAACAACTTCAAACAGTCGTCAATTGGGCGGTCCAGCGCTGTTTACTTATCACCCGAAGATGGAAACGCGAGAACCACGTAAACAGCCGCTTACTTAATGAGTTAGCACAATGGGAACCTTTTGAAACAACGATAGCGCGTCAGAGTCTGTTTTGGTTAGGGCATGTAGCGCGAATGGACAAAGCTCGACTCCCTAAACAAGCTCTATTTGGTTTTTGGCAAGACCACCTGATCAAGCCTCACGCGCCTTTCCGTCAGGGGCAATGGTTGCAGTACCTCATTGCACAGATAGATGTCAATGAATTGGACTGGTTCAGACTGGCCCAGGATCGTGACGCTTGGAAACAAGCCGTGCTCAATGCGTACCCAGTCACTAAGATAAATAAGCAGACCGAAATGGCACTCAATAGATGGCGCCCCAGCACCCGAGCCCGGCCACCCCCTGTGCACTTTCAGTTCAACCGCGAACGACGTAAGCGACACCGCGTGATGCAACCGGATCCTGCCACAGGACAATATAAATGTCCCCGCTGTGATCAATCATACGAGAAGTCTAATAGCCTCAAAGCCCACTATGAAGATGAGCATGCCGTGGCCGTCCCACATCTTATCACAGTTGCTACCTACGCATGCCCACATTGCGGAAATAATTGGCGAAGTGAAAAGCGCAGACGCACTCACATATGCCCAGTTGCGCCGCGCCCGGTCCGAGGCCCTAAAATTCACCATACGCAAGCATGTAGGCTCTGCCATGAAACATTTACCACACCTAATCTAGCACGTCATGAGGCCCTGTGTCGCGGCCCCGACCCCGCGAACCGCACGTGTGAATTTTGCCACAACATTTTTAGTTCCACGGTTTCGCGCAAGAACCATGAAGCTAGATGTCCACAACGCGGCTAACAACACGATACCCCCCTCTCCTCACCCAACCGCTGTAGGTCGACTCACCCGGCACGTCCGAGGTGTCTCCTTCGGGAGGGATGGAGGGTCATGAACTACTCCATCAGTCACCTACGAGCCAACCGGACCACGTGTCACGGTATCCCCCCCATTGTCTGCTCCCCACCCTCACACACCGTCACACCCCAATAGACTGTTGAACAAAGGATAACGACACCCATTCACTTTCATCACCTGTGTCCACCATAGCATTGTCGGATCAAGTGCTCAGCGTAGAGTTCTCCCTCTTTTAAGCCTCGGCACGAGTAATGGCAAAGGCAGAAACCAAGGCCCAGCTGAAGGACATGAAAAAGGCCATCGATTCTCTCCAAGAAGGAGTCACGAAGCTGGAGACCAGGGTTGACAGGCATGAGACGAGATTGGACCGAATTGAAAAAAGTACACAACTGGTCGTCGAGTTTGCACCCGACCTCGAGACGATTTATCAGCAGGCACAAGTGACCCGTGAGTTTAAGAACCTCTGCAAAGACGGCGCAGCGGCTGTCCTGAAGGCCTTGGGCCATGTTCTGCATCTGCCCTACCCAATACCATCTGACCAAGCATCATCTGACTGGCATAAGGCCAACCCCGACCTTCAAAGCTCGGCGGTAGTGGATCAATGGTATATGCTGTGCCCAGCGTTGGAACACAGTACGCGTTTCATCAGTCCCAACCGTACCAGAGGCACTTTTGACGATGCTTCCCAGTCATGGATCAGGGCCAAAAACCATTTCGTTCTCCGCCTTGAGTTTGGCTTGGCTTCCCAGACCATCCAAGATGTCTTAGCACATGAACTCGGAAAGGCCCTCCTATCTTCACGTCAAAAGGCGAAGGACGACGGGGCAGGAGACAACGATGTCATCAATGTATTCATAAATCGCACCAGAGAGGAAATCCAGAAACGCAACCGGCCTGGCCCAAAAGGCAAAGGGAAACAGCACAAAGGCAAAGGGAAAGGCCGCGGAGGCGGCAAGGGCAACGCTCAATGAGCTCCACCCTGGTTTCACCCTGGTTCGGGATATCGTAGACACACACACACACCAGTTAGATTTGACAGCAATCACTTTGACTCTAACGTCACCGACAACCACACGACATGCTTCTGTAGCGGCACACGTTCCTCCATGTGTTGACATGAGTTCATCCCGGACCACTAAGCTAACTGGAATTCACTTGTTTCACCACCTTGACGCCATGTTGGACGATGGGCTGCGGATGTACCACTTTTGAGCATCTTGGTTCTTGCACTGGTTTCTTAGGCAGCCAACCCAAACATCGTAGTCGTTCGTTCGTTCGTTCGTCCAGGCCCCCCCCCTTAGTGTGATATATCAAGCTTTAGGGCACGCAGCTCATTCCACTACCAATTGCTAAAGCAAAGAAGAACTCAGCTAGCATGCTAGCTTTCGTGACCTGTTTCTATATGCCAGAAAACGAGGATTCAACAGCCTGTGTGACTTGGGCAAATGCACTAGCTCGGAAGTTTTCTGAGAAGAGGGGCGAGGGGGCGAGCTATGGCGAGCTCTTCAGTGACTCCATGTCCAGTCAAAACTCTGGGATATGATATTAACCTATCTCATCTTCAAGACTCTTCTAACTTCTGACCCCCTCGGTTTCCCTGGAGGATTGAGGGTAATCCTTTTCTGCCTGTTTGCTTTTAGTGATTTTTAAGTGGGGAGACCAACCCCAAAAAAGAAACCACTGACTGGCTAGGTCTTCTTTTTGCTCATGGGTTTTGGGGGTGTTGAGAAAACAGTGGCCACAACGTTCGAGGCATCCCTGTGCTCCTAGCTGCGGTGGCGTCTGAGTTCGCCTGGCATCAAAGAGCATGGGTGAAGCATTGCAACTGACTGAAGAACATGTAACCATGCAACTGGGCATGAAAGGGAGGAGGAGGACTGCTTCTCCAAAGCTACATGGAGACAAGGAATACTGGATTGGTCCATATGTGTCTATAAACTCACTGCCTGTGCCTTTGGCAAAATACTATCTATATGAGGTCAATGCCGGCTGACCTCCCAGGGACCTCCTGGTTGGTAAGGAAAACAGACCGATCGGGTGTCTCCCAATGCAAACATAAATCAAAGTATCCCTGCAAATGATTTATATAAGCCTTTTTTGTGTTGGGCTTCCGGTTGCCCAACCTTGATTGAATTGCCTGAATCCCGAGGAAAGCTATTGTTTTGATTTTATGCTACACAACACCAGGTCAGCAATTCTTTCTAAATGGTGTGAACGCTAGGGTTATTCATCTCTGCAAGTGTGTCTCTGTGTGTGTGTCTGAAATGCTACCATATGGATTCCTCTTCTCATTCCAAGGGTGGGGCTCTGCAAGCAATTTTATATCTGTAGTGGAAATGGGAAGGAGGATCCATATGAGGTCCGTTCCCCCCAACAACATATAACGCCCCGGCCGGCGCCTGTAGGATGGGGCGCTCTGCGGCCGGCTGGGAGCTGCCGACCTCAAAACAGCTGCCAGCGAAGCGACCACCCGCGTTGGCTGGGTGGACCGTCCGGGAACCGGGTGAAACGAACGGTGAAGCCAAAAAGGATGTCTTGGATTGGCTTTTAGGAACCGGGAACCAATAAAACATATTTAGAAGGGGATTCAACCTTCCAACATCTTCCAACTATTCTTTCTTGCAACTTCTGACAGCCGTCGGTTGAACCTTGTGGAAAACAAATAATCGCCTTAAGCACAACCAAAGGATTTGTAAGGAACTCCATGTGTTCATGTTGAGTGTGAAACCCAACAAAACTCCCCAAACTTTGGTGAACTGCCAGGAGATCCCACTCACTTCTGGAATTTCCTGGGTACAGAACCAGCTTCTGCGCGGTGGGGGGAAGGGGCTCGTACTACATCCAGCTGGGATAGGCGGAGCGCGGGAGCGATATAAAAAGTAATCTCTTCTCCACCAAAGGTCCTACCCTAAGGATCCTTGGACCCGGCTTAGAAGGGGTCGAACCTTCTATAAGAGGGGTTTGGGGCCCCGAACCAAACCCTTGTTTTGAGGGTCCGGATCCTTAGGGCCAGAGAATTCCAACCCCTTCCCAGAGGTATCAACCGCAATTGATCTATGGTGTGTTCGAATAAATCGGACCAGTTCTCCGGGTGACCCTTACAAAATGGATTGTGTCATCCAGTCACTGCCATATATGAAACTTAAGTTCTTTCCTACAAATGCAGTCTTTGGTCTTTTGCTCTTCCATGCTGATTTGTTCCTGGAAGAAGCTGCTGGACCGGGCAGTGGAGAGCTCCCGGGCACCTCCTCCCGGACGTGCGCTCCGCCCGGGGTTCCGTACCGGACGATTGGGGGTTCCTCCTCGCCTGGATCGGCGAAGGTCGGTGGACATGGGTTGGAAGGACTTGAGGGGAGTGCCACTGAAGTCTATGTCCAGGGAGAGTTAAAAATCATGGTGGTGGTTTCAAGTCACGAAACAACATGAGTGAGTTCAATCAAGATCTGAAACCACCACCTAGTACAGTATAATGTTACCTTAAAGACTTGAGGGGGAGAGGTCTGAAACCACCACCTACGAGTAGTAATTGTTATCCAAGAAACTCTGAGAGGTCCGAAGATCTTGGGGGTCTGAGAGGTCTGAATCATGGCGAAGAACACATAATCCAATGGGTTTTTGGGGTTCAATGCGTTCAATGTGTGTTCTCTTCTAGACATCTTTTAAAACCACAATGCCGGTGTTTGACAATGCCTCAGCTTCCCTGGAACATGAAGGTTTTACCATGTTTAACCTTTTGTCCACCTGTTCGCATCTTGCTAGCCTAATCTTCTTGCTCTGGCGCTGAGGACACTCTGGTCGCAACAAAAATCCACCTGTTCATGTTTAGGGAAGCGATTCCACCAAAAGGTTTTGCAGGTTATCAGCTGACTCAAGACATACCTAGATTTGCAACAAGATAGCTCGCCAAGTCATACATAATTTCAGACGACAGCCTGCTTGCAAGCGAAAGAACAAACACATCTGGTTCTTTGCAGCCGATCCACTTTCTCCTGGGTGGGTCATGGACAAATGGACTCTGCCACCAATATGGGCACCCGGAGTCATAGTCTGACATTTCAGGTCCGTTCTGAACCATTCTGAACCATTTGGCTTTCATCCAAGCAACATAACAAGCCCTCCAAAACGCCCTGCTTTCAGGCCCTTTCATCTTCACAGGGCCAGAAGGAGCCAATAACCAACCACTTCCGATGCATTGTCTGTGGAGAATTGGGCAAATGATTGCACTCCTTGCAATCATTGTGGTTACGTGGATGGCACCACCAGTTTGGTAGTCGAAAATGATCATACTTTCAGGGCAGTGTAACCAGGATGATTCCAGGGAGTGTAAGTGTCCCTCATTTCGGTTTCCTGGGTCCCTGACCTGACCATTCTTGTGCACCGCCACGGCCACTATGGACTGCATCTCCTGTATGGCTATATAGCCCAGGTCTGCTCTGTATGATGAGGACACCTCTGGTTCCGGCAGGGTGCTCTGAGCCCTGGCGGCGACGAAGCCCTGCCAAAGCATCCAGGCAGACTTTAAGAAGTTTTACTAACCCTCCACTCAAGTTACATGGAAGTGGATGGCATGGCCCCGAAATGATGGCCATCCTGTGGGAAACGTGTGATCTTACACCTTATACTCACATGCAGTGCAGCTTTTGTGGAAAAGGCTGTATCATGCACATGCTTTCTGCGGAGAAAGGATGTCACAAGCACATCGGACTTGATAAGCACAAAATAACCACACCACAAACATCAACCTGCAACTCATCATTAACCCACCACCACGACCACAACAAAAAACAATCGAACACTCAGAAGAGAAAAAACACCGCAACGATGACAGCAAGAACAAAAGCAACTACAGTACCACACAAGAGCGACCACTCGCACGCATCATCATAGAAGCACAAATCTTCACCCATGGTTCCCATCAACGTGTCTAGTAGCTGACTGGTGCTAAGTAGATCTTAGTAAGAAATGAGGGAATGGATCCTAAAACAATCCATATGTGAGTGAGAGGTCATTGAGACATTTCTCTAATTTTCTCTACACTGCACCAAAGCCAGAGGGAAAATCTAGAGCCATCGTTTTGATGGTGAAAACAAGGATTTCCTGTCGAAAAAATCCTTGAACCATCTTAAACCAATTCATTGCTTAACTCCAAAAGCGAGACATTTCTCTAAATTGCAGCCAAGAAGCGAGTTCCAAGATTCAACAACCCGGGCCCCGTAAAAAGCGACGCATCAATCAGCGCTTCGCTTCGTTTTGCGCTCTCCTGTGAGATCGATGGTGCCGTGATAGCTGGCCTGGCGGAGCTGTGGCCGAGCGTGAGAAAATGGTTGCGGTGTTCAAGCACATCACCACTGAAGTAAAGGACATTCCTGAAATCGGGTCACCTAGTCAAACTACCTGGACCCGACTTCGGTCGTACCTTGGAACGCAATAAACATATATATATTATAGGTTTAAAAACATAACACTTTTTGAAGCTGTCATGCCAAAAAAGTGCCATATGTCACTTTTTGTGCTCTTTGCGGATCTTGACCTGCACCTGGTGCAACAGGACACAATACTGTACATTCCAACGTTTGGTGAAGGGGTCACTCTTGGATGCGCTGCAAACTTCGAACACTTGACAAACAAGATGCGCTGCAAACTTAGAACACTTGACAAACAAGTCTATGCGCAGCAAACTTAGAACACTTGACAAACAAGTCTATGCGGGAATATGACGGAGTGGAATTTTGCAGCACATTGAATCCAACACCTCACAAACACTTCAAAGCCCGATCCTCGGCAGAAACCTGAGAATATTGTTTATCCCAGCGTATTTGTGGTCCAAGTCTACCTCTCCAGGGCACCCCATCATAGCATATAGCATGGCATATGTCATAGTTCCTTCTTTTTGTTTTTTGTTCAGCATGGCACTTTTTCATGCTGTTTGACATATTGTATTTTTTTGGAACCGAGTGGTCCAGGCAGGAACCCATCAAAGCCATCTGTACCCATTCTCTGAGGTATGAACGGGCCGAATCCAGGTACCTGCCTTGACCCTGGGTCAAGCAGGCCCGGTCTGATCGGTCTGGAAATGGGTAACAAGTACATACCTGAATCTTCCTAGGGCTGCACTTTTTGCGCCTCCATCCTAGAGGGCGCCTCTAGGAACTGAGAGGCAACTTTTTTTGCAAGAGGCGATTCTTGTTTTACATAGATTTCTCACCAGTTATGTCGATAGAACATATGATAACCGTGATAACAATGAAACTTATACACTTAACATATAGGACAAACACCACAACCCCCGAACCATGGACCAAAACATAAGTTACGTGGATTCAAAAGGTTCAAGCATGATAAAACATGAAACGCATGAAGGCATGATAACTCACTGTGGAAAAGTGAGCGAACACAACATGATATATATATATATATATGAACTGCTAATTGTCCACTTGGATTGGCCTGCGAAAAATGACCCCCACAAGTCCGGCTTTCCTCCTTCAAAACCTGCATTTCGGGCAGGTCGAACCGGACTTGTGGGGGTCTTTTTGCAGGCCAATCCAATTGGAAAATTGCAAATATGAACATGATATCGCGCAATTTGATAAACGCACATGAAAACATGAAACACATGAAAGCCGCATGAAAAACCTGAAACATATGAAAAAAAACATGAAACATATGAAAGCCACATTAAAAACATTAAAGCACAGGAGAGCCACATGAGGAAAAATAAAACATGAAACATACGAAAAACCCGAAACAAACGAAAAAAAACATGAAAGCACATGAAAAACATGAAACATATGCAAACACATGAAGCAACGAGAGGCGGAACTTACCGGGTAAGAGGCGGAACTTCCCGGGTAAGAGGCGGAATTCCCAGGTCATGAATTTTTGGCATAGTCTTTAATTAAGTCGACAGGTTGCTGCTTTCAGGCTTGTCTCTAATCGAAATGGGAAATGGCGTATCAGCTTCCGTCAAGTGTCTTTTCGAGTTCGACCCTGATGGCTGAATTGACGTTAGTGAAAGAAGAGAAAGATGTGGACAAACTTGATGGTGACGATGCAACCCTGATGTCAGAGCTGCAACAACCGCAGGTGGGGCTGTTCGTTTCTATAGGTATTGATACTCACCTCTAGTCAGTGTTTTGGTCTGAATATTTACTGGCTAAACATTTTTGCTTTGTTTTCTGCCGGTTGCAGGCGCTCAGGTTGCAAATCCCTCAACTGCCTACTCCTATGAACTCTGCCTTGAAAGACCTCCAAGCGCCAAACACCTCGGAGAGTTACGCCGGGCCTGATGATGAAACTCAAACGGCTGGTTTGGGCTTGGACGCAGTTGCTAGCAAGCATGATGAAACTCTTTTTGCTTGGGCTTGACCGATAATCTTTTATCATGTTGATAGCTGTCGGCAGCAGCAGCGCAAGACCACCAAAAACATTACAAATGACAAGATTCCCTTCTACCAGAAAAACACGAGAGGCAGTTTTTGTTCTAAGCGGCAACTCTTGAATGGAGAGGCTAACATTTGAGCCTCTTTGCTAAGAGGCTGAGAAAAGCAACCACCGGAGGTTTAAGGTACAAGTACCTGTTTTAAGAGGTTCAAACGCTCATGTCAAGTTCATGTCCCATGTTCTAAGGTACTTGAAGTCGGATCCAGAAGCAAGAAACCAGGAAATGCCAAGAACCCTTTGTGTTTCACGCGTGGTCCAATCGAACGTGACATGTAGGCTTTGGGAACGCTTGTTCAAGAATCATGAGATATTCCATGAGAGCAGGACACAATAAGGAGTCCAAAGACTAGATTTGCCCCATAGAAGTAAAGGGAGTTCCTTTTGAGGTCACCTAAAGACCTTTTGAAAGAATAGTCGAAAGCCCTGCCACCATCGGATTCTCCGTGCAAACTCCTGAGCTCCTTCAACATCCTTGTGAGGTCCCCTAAAAAGGTGCTTCATGTGAGTTTCTCGCGATGCTTGGCTTTAATCCTTTCCTATTATCTTTGTCTTTAAGATCCTATTTTCAGGTGACCCACCTTGCCTCACTCATTCAGCCACTTGAAGACAGCGCGGTTCCACGCACCGCGGCGGGAAACCGCGGTGGAACCCACGAACGTCGTCGTCCGAACCTCCGAAAGGAGTGAGCTCTTGGTATCACTTCGGCGCAGTCCTGGCGTTCAGAACAGCGCGTCCACAAGCTACCAGGGGCCCGAACCCAACCATGAAAAAACAAAGGTTGTCACATACCACACACAACTTGCGCACCAATCCGAACGCACCTCCCAGTCCTTCCCCATTGGGGGGTACTGGAGGGGAAAGGTTTTCCAATACAAAAACCAGGTTTTTTGCTAAGGGAAAACCAGGTTTTTGATGGGCCATGTGGGGCCCCTGGTAGGGTGCGCTCTTTGAGCCTTGTCTCCCTGGCTTACCCCATGTTTGTTGTCGCACAAGGAACGCCCACTAAGTGGATTCAAACGAGCTTGAATTTCAGTACCAACTGACCTTTCAGCTTCCGTCCAGTGCCTTTTCTTCAAAATTGTTCTTGTTGGACCTTCGCCCCTTTTTAGACGCCGAAAGAGGCCGGCGACTCGGGATCCGAAAGGATTTGCTCTTGCTGGAAGCAAAATAAATCTACCCAGACGCTCCAAACAGCTCTTGGTCCCTCAAAACCCTATAGGGATTTGAGGGTCCGGACCCCTCCATATGAGGTCACGGCCCCTACTTAGCAGGGTCCATAAGCGTTTGGGTAGAACCTCTTTTTGAAAGGAGGATTCATCCATCTCAGGGGACCCAAAAAACAATGGCCCAAACAGGCCCCCCCCCCAAAACCAGGGACCCCAAAACCAGGGACCTCTGCTCTCTCGTCGTATACAGATTCACCCTTCGTAGACGGAGTCGCTTCCTTCCGACCCACCGGTTTGGGAACCTCATGGTCTGGCGGTCGTGTCTGGCAGTGTCTGGCCCTTTGGGAGGTTGGAAAAGGGAACAGAAAGAGATAAACATGATAAACAAAAAAAAACTACAAGTCCAGTCTCACCCAGTAAAACCTGCTCTTTTACCTCCTTAAGTATTGGTTTTGTATGACCATCTCCAGTAAATGAGGTCATTGACCATCCAATAGGTGTCCTGACTGGCCTGCCCTACGCTACTATCCGGGACCTATGTCATATCGGGCCAGGAGTTGGAATCTCTATTCTAGACTCCTCTTAGCAGCCCACGATATCACTCAATTGTACTAAATGTTGGCAAGACTTAATTGAGGTCTGTACTCTAGACTCTACAGTCATGGTCAAATCATGTCAAATCCCTTCCTACAGATCCCATTTCATAAACATCGAACGCGCCGCGATGTACGACGATCCCGCTTCCGATCCATCACCCAAGCTCGCTGTCGGCCGAAGACTTCTCATCCCAAGGTGGCAACAAACAATCACCTCCAACAGGTTAGTTGAGGGTTGTTGGACCCTGTCTCAGGTCTCAATTGGTGACCTGTAGAGTCGGGTGCTGGTACACATCTTCTTCTCCGCCCCCTGCAGCCTGCGCCCGTGGATCGGACCATCCCCGGCCGGTTTGGTCTTCTTCCGGCGCCTCGCTCGCCCGGCTGCAAGCCGCCGCGTCGGAAGCGATCCGCGGTAGTGGGCCTGACGCGCGGTCGCCCGGCGGCGGAACCGGCGGCGAAAGGGTTCCAGGTCACCGGAAAATGGTGGGTTTGGAGCCACCTGCGGGAAGAGTATCACTCCGATGAGACTGGCATAACAGTGACACCAGGTCAAACCAGCTCAATTGATGCAATGTATATACAAACAAATATGTCATTGGAGAGTTTAAGATCCCCCTCTTCATCCACGTAGCATGGCCAGCATGTAGCGGGTTGATGAGCGCAGCATGAGTGATCCAACCCTTTGTCAGCCGCATTGTTTCCAAACTTAAGACACCTATACCAGGACCTTCCAACAGGTGGTTTTAGAAGCCTAACAGGTGGTTTCTGGGCACCTGTTGTCACCAGGAAACACCTGTTGGAGGGTCCAGGTAGTTTGATATTTTGAACGTAGCTTCCCAAGAAGCATGGCATGTGTCACTGCTTCTTGTGCCAGCCCTTGGGTTGCAAGCAGATGAGGGAAGCCATGGAACAAAATTATCGCACAAACATGGAATAATCTGACAGCCACCATCTGGTAACAACTGTGGAATAATTGTCAGCAGTTCAAAAAAAGAATATAAAGGAATGCTCATCTTTGCAGAGCTTGAGAGTTCTCTTCAGCCAGCGTCGCGTGCAACCCTTGACTGTTTTGCCTCTTGAGTACCTTGTGCATGGCCACCAAGTTTGTGAACACAGCTGACACCATGTTTTCATCACCATTTGCAGGCGTGTGTTCACCCAGAACCAGCACAGCACAGGATCCACAACTGCTGTCAAGCCACGCTGCATGGTTGAGGCGAAGCGGGTACTCCTGCTGGTCACTTTGGTTCGGCACGTGCTTCTTTTGGAGACGGTTCCAAGCCCACGCCCTTTGTTCTTTGGTCAGCACGGCATGTCTGGCCATCCTAGAACACTTGGCTTTCCAGCTCCACGACCTGTGCAAGCGAGTTCCGAAGCAACTTCTGCGATGCGAGTTTGCCTGCCATACATGCAGCAGTCCAGCTTTGGCAAAACCTTCGAGAGGCCAGTGCGCAACAACCTCTCAGAAACCCTGATCTCGCCCCGTTTGACTGTCGAGAAAGTCATGGCAGCTTTCCTGAGCATCCGCGAGCCCAAGCATAACCCAAACGCTCCATGTATGCCATATATGCCTACATTGTGGTGGTTTGGGGGGTCAATGTAGGCATATAGTCCATACATGGAGTGTATGGGTAAGGACAACGCTGATGCCGCTCCCACAAGGCCTCTGCCAATTCATCCGAGACAACCAAGTGGCTGTGGTACGAACAAAGAAAGGACACGTGCAAGGTTCCGAGAACGTGCCCAAGAAACCCCTTAGCAGCAAGAGGGGTTACGCCAAAACAGTGGCACAATGTTTGTTGAAATCATGGAAGAGGTACTCGGCCTAGTGCGGAAAGTTGTGGCCAAGTACGACAATGTGTGCCTAGGCGTCCAGCAGGAGCTCTGGAGCTCGGAGAGCGCCCATTTGCCGTTGTTTTCTTCGCGTGGCCCCGGCACGGTTATACGCAGTTTCCGAAGAAAGCAAGGCTACGCCGGGGTCCAGAAGTCGAGAAGCGCACTGAAAAGCAGGATGTGAACGGCTGATCAGCGCCAAAGGGGTCGAAAGGATGCGAAACGCGGTTGTTCAGAAAAAGGTTTTAATACGGAATGCATAGAAATGACCAGAAAAGTTCTCGCTCAGCATTCGAAGCCTGGCAATTGCTGCCTGGCCATGGGAAGATAGACATTTGCAGCCGTCGGTTCCACATGGAAAAGGATCCAGAACGATTTGCTCGGTGTGCACGGCTGATTCTGCACACCACCCTGTGGATCAAACTTTCTCAGATATGAGAAAAGAAACTGAAAGCGCATTGGCACGTGCTGAGGAAAGGAGAGGAGTGTGTGTGTGTGTGTATGTGGGTGTGTGTGGGTGCGGCTGCCTCGAGCTCCAAATAGTTTCACGGAAGCTCCTGCTGGTATGCTTCTTCTTGAAGCTCCTGTGTCTCTTCTGCAAAGCTCTCTTTGGCATATGCTGACTGCCAGGAGACAGGAAATTTCTTTGGAGCAGCTTATGATGACGTCAGAGAAGTTGAGGGCCTAATATCATCGCTGAAGCAGTACATGCTCTGGGCCGCCGAAGTTGGCCATTTCCAGTCGTCCAATTACGGGTGCTGGTGCATTGACCCCAGGTCAACACCTCGATGTATACAAATATATGCAAGAATGATCAGCTTTGCATAGATGTGTCATAGATGGAGTGTTGGGGATGGATGGTTGGACGGGGGAAACCAAATACTGTGACCGGCTCGCCGGCTGGTCACACCCGCCTCGGCCGCCGCTCGGGGTTCTTCAGAAGCTCCGAGGGGCTCGGGCTCTCTGCACGGCGCGTGCTGCTCGCGGAGTCGGGGCGCCTGGAGTGGAACGGGTCCGGTGCCTCTCTTCTCATTTATCTTTTTACTTATAACTTGTGATGCTATATTTTTAATACGCGATGTGTAAACTTAGTTATGCTATATCATCAAACTTGTTATGCTATGTGCAAATACACAAGCAACACCTTTGTTCTAATATGTTTTCTCACCCGACCTGTTTCTTTCCACCCGAGACCCGACCCGACCGTTCGTCCGTTCGTCACTTCCCTCACAACCGCGAGTGAGTCGTTCGTCGACACCACGAGTCGGGTGGAGCCCTTAACGTCCCGAGCGAACGCTGCACATCGCTCGGTGCACATCGCGCGGTGCACATCAACGCTGTTGTTGTTAGGTTTTTGTTTTTGGTATATATCAGCCTATGAACTGATATAACCAAATTGTAACAAATGCATACCAACCGTGTTTGATCACGTTTGATCGTGTGCTCAGCTGGTGGAGTGGCCAATTGCCTGGGTCCCAGGGGGACACAGTCCAACGACGGCCGGCGGCCTGCGGCCTGCGCCACCGATTCAGCATGTGAAGGTCGTCTTCGCTTACAGGCAAACTGGATATGAACTACGTGTCCGTTTTCCTGGTCTCTAGGAATGGCCGGGGGGGCAACAAAAGATTCAAGTGGTAAGTGGTTTTGGCACCATCAAGGTTCAAATTGGAATGCAGTTTCCTGCCATTGACGTCCTCTGCGGTTTGATTGGTTTTGTCCATTCGCCCAAACACCCATCCAAAGGCTCTCTATCATGATTGAGTTTGGGGGGGTCAAGGTGGCTTGGACCCCCCCCACCAGTCCTCGAGTCCCACCGAAATGGACAGAGATTCTCAGGAAACCTCCAGACTGCCGGACATTCGAACATCGAGGTGTCATTGCAAGTCTGAAACCTCTATTTTCCGTCTGAATCCTCCAAGTTGGCTGCTGAATCCCCACCCCAAAAAAGGTTTGGTTATGACCAGAAGCTCCAAACTGCCCCTGAAAGGCCCTTGGTCCCTTGGTCCGTTTGGACACACTCCCCGCACCCCTCGCATGCCCGTACGTCCGCGTACATCCGCAGTCCCATCCGCGCCTGGCGACGGGAGCGCTCTGGGGGCGTTTGCGTTGCGTCCAAACCGCCACGGGCTTTGCAGTGGCACGTGCCAAAGGCTGATCCTGGTGGGGAAAAATGGACGGAGAGAGGTGTTTTCCCTTCACATTCTTGGAGAATAGGGAATGGAGTGACTTTGGGCTGCATCTTGGATGTACTCATGGTTACGGGTTTGCCACTGTGCTATACACAAATTCACAAGAATTACACATCTGATCATGTCTGATCAACAAGATAAGCTGTAGAAGAACAAGCTATCTTACATCTTTTCAACATCCTTTTGCCTATCTGGCCTATCTCTCCAAAGCGTCCTGCAACTTGCTCCAGGCAATCTCCAAGGTCTCCGTTGGGAGTGCCTCACATTGCTTGGGCTGCTGAGTACAGAACCGGTTACACCCGGCAAGAGAACCACATCATGGAATATGATTTTCCTCTACTACAAACCGGGCGTGGTAAACTCAGGTTCCATGTGGACCTCTTCCAGGGCGTATGTCAACTAATGGGGTCACAAAGCACCGGCCACTGGTGACGGAACGAGCCAAGAACTACCAGTACCTCCGGTCACCAATTGAAACCTAGGGCCTTGCCCAAACCTCCATTTCGGAGACCTGTTGGGTTCGGTGCTGGTATATATATATATATTCTTTTTTTGGTAAAGTGACAATGATAACCTACCTATGACACTTATGTTGACTCCCTGGCCATTTCCGCAAATCAAGACCAACCTCTCCACTTGTTGGAGTTGAGAGGCAAACAGAGCAGCCAACAACTTCCTCCAAGCGACTTCCTCCAACTGGGTAAGTGATGTAGACCTTGATCAATAGAACAACAACAACAACAACAACAGGCCTGAAGGGGTTTTACAATCCATGTCCAGTGCGTTTTGACACATACTGTAATCAAGAGGTCTACATTGAACTCCCCAGTTTCGGTACCGAAGTGCCCGTTCGGTCTCCCGTTCGACGATCTGCGCGTCAAGGATCAATAACGCGCTGAATCCATCGGGTCAGACCAAACAATAGACCACCGAAAGGGCGTGAATTCAACAATGCCCGAACAAAGACCGACCCACTTCGCTGGCGCGAAAAGCCGCCCGAGACCGGTGGGAAAAACATCGACCGAGTCACCAAGGGCGTGAAAACCGGGCAGTTTCTGTATACATCAGGAGTGGTTCTCAAGCTAGGGGTGGTTTTCGTCCCCATCCAGGTGAGTGGATCATGGGGACTGTATCCCCTATCTGTGACTCCTGGCAGTTTGTTCTTCTTTTTTCCCTATGGATCCACATACCGAACCTGAGAAGGTGATTGGAGACTATTTATTAGTAGGTTTGGAGGGTCCAATTACCTTCTGAGAATGTGGCAGTGGATCCATAGGGTTTAGAAATGATCGGACTTGCCCCCCCCCTCCACAGGAGATCCGTCACACGCGTCCGGAGTTGTTTGCTCGTGTGTTCATGAGTCCTGGGTCGCAGGGTTTCGCCGAACTTTTGGGGCCAAAAATGGCCCAGAAAAAGACCTGGCTATACGTGAGCTGGTAAACCCAAGAGATTGGCCGAGTAGGTCACTTCAGAAAAATTGATTACGACATCTTGTTGAGAAAACCTGAGTTTTAATCCAAATTCATGAGAAATCAACAGTTGACCTTTCAACAAAAACAGCTTCTTACACAAGCTACACAAGCCATAAATCCAAAGGCATGGTGCTTCAGTCCGCGTTTGGACGCTTCTTTTGGCTCCGCCGGACACGGGGAAAATCAGGGTCCCACGCGCTCGCGCGTCCCGAGGGTAGCTCCGTTCGTCGGCTTGGCTTGGGCGTCGGGTGCTTCCATGACTTTCCCTGGAACGCGAGAAGAGAACATCTAAGATTGGACCAACCAATGACTGGCATCTTTGCGTTTGAGTAGGTGATTCGAGTTTGGAATTTCCTGAAACCTTCGGTGGTGACCCAAATAAGTAGTTGAGTTGAACTGCACGACTCTAGAGTCTTGAATAGAGCTTTAAAGCTTATGAGGCGGAACCGCTTCAGGTCCGCTGTTTCTTTTTTTCACTGGATACCCTGGCAGTTCTCATGATTGGTCACTGTTGCTCACTATTGGTTCCAAAGAAAACCCATCAACCGAGCAAAACCCTGGTTCCTTAATATATACATACTTACCTGAAGTATACCCTAGAAGTCGAGTTCCACAATGATTGGCACCACCAGCATTTGTCGGAAAAAGCCTTCTATAATCACCCAAAGACCAATTCTTAGTGGCAACTGGGATTGATTGGGATTCAAAAGATCCTTTAGACCACTCTCAGGCACTTCGAGAACGAGCGTATGAGCATAAGCACTGAGGCGCCACTTCACATCCGCCGTCACATGAACATGCACTCGAGTGTGGACAAAAGAACTCCCCAAAGCTACAGCCTTCCTTTTATCTATCCGAAGCATGTCTCATCTTCATGTCATTTTGATTCAAGTGCAGCTCCGTTCTTTCGTGCAGGGTCCCTGCGCCAGTTCACGCTGGTGTCTTGTAGTCCCTGCATGCTGTGGCACTGTTAATGCCTCACGAAGCCTGACTGAGGGTCAGATGCATCAACAACTGCATCAACAATATTGATTGATACTTCCAACAATTGTCTAAGAATCACACAACTTCAAGAACCTCCAACCTGGGTGCCGAACTTGGAAATCGGAAACGTCTATCTTGGAAGGGGTTCCAGCTTCTGAGGCTTCTGCTTCAGGTTCACTGTATCATCCCCAGTGGATCCAGGCATTTCCCCACGGTGTTGCTAGTCCAATAACTTCTTCCTTCTTCCTGTGTTTGGGAGATGACTTATTTATCGAACAATTGTAATGCGAGAGCTAGGACCTGCTAAAACTCCTGGTGCCCACAAGTGCTTCGGCAAACTTTTGCGACCAATTGGTGTATCGGGGTATCGTCAATTAGAACATGGAGACCTCCCAAAAACCTCTGAAAAAAACAAACATAGAGGAAACACCCATTGATTGGATTTGGGTTGTCTCCCTACTAAAATGCAACTCCAAGTCCGTTGTCCTGATTGAAGACCTACGACTCCTTCAGTCAGGTGCAAGAGAGTTCCAGCAAAGCCTGCCACGCTCCCAAGAGTCAAGTGGTGTCGAGCTCTGTGGTGTCTTTCGAAAGGATTGTGCTAGAAGAACCGGGAACAAAACAACTTCCCCAGAAGGGGATTTAATTAGCTCATGAGGAAAATAAATATGAATCATTCATAAGCATTCTAAGCAAAACCAGGTCTTGAATTAATGATGAATCATGATGGATTCGAGACAGTTTCACCATTTGGTTCAACAAGGCGTTTCAACTGCGGCAAAACACAAAGGAATGTTTGGGCATCTGCAGTGATCCAACCTAGACCATCCATGTAGAATTAAGGACATATTTACCTGCATTGACCCCAGGTCAAAAACCCCAATGTGGGTCAATATGCAAGTCCCATGGATGGTCAGGCCAATGATTCCTGCAGCAAGAACCACTTCTTCGTCCTGTCGAAGTGCTGCCGTTTCCTTTCGGGAGCGCTGTGAGACCGACCGCGCGGAACACGCGCTCATTGCTGGGCAAAATCGGTCTTGTTCAGCTTCACGTCGGTGTCAATGTTCACGCCACGGGCTTTGGCCACATGGAGCATGTCCTTGTCACCTCTGCCACAAAGGTTGACCAGCCTTGGTGGAAGGTCAGTTCTTCTCAGTCCCAAACGTTCCAGGAATGGACCCTTCAAGTACCCCAGAGAATTACCGAAGACAACGTGAAGTACGTAAACAATGTGTTTACAGTTCCATTTACTCGTCATGTTCATCCAATTTCATCACCCTCCAACTAAAACTTCTCAGCTCCCATTTGGCCCCATCTCCGTCAAAAAACCATGGGGAGTTTTGCGACCAGCGCCTGTCTCAGCCGGTCCCCCATTTTGTGACTTGCAAAACATATAGGAACCTGTTAGAACCTGGTTCTGATTCGGTGATGTTTTCAGATTGCATGCTTCATCTTCTATCTACTCCAGGTATGTGCTTTTTTTATATCTAAAAACCATGCCTTCCAAAACTCGCCAGTTCTCCAGGGAACACAATCTTGTCCTTTGGCAAGGACTTGGCCAATTCCATCGTCTGATGCAAGGCATGGCTTGGCTCGAGCGCAGGCACGATGCCTTCCTTCCTGCAGGGTCACTCAGGCGGACTTCAGGCGGACTCAAACGGATTGGCACCGAACTGCTCAAAAACGCGCCCCTGGACCCTAATTAGGATTCGAACAACCATTGTTTTAATAGCCCTGTGCCAAAGAACAAGTTATTGTTTTACTAGGATCTTTTTACACTACACCACCAGGTCAACGATTCTTTTAATGGTCTTTGAAGGCTAGGGTGGACCCTCATATGGAGGGGTTGGACCCAAATCCTCTGGAGGGTCAAAGTACGGGTCGAAGTATAATCCCTAGGTTTTGAGGATTGTTGCAGGGAGTGTATTTGTCCTGGCATTTACAGTGGACGGCACATATTTCTGACAAAACAGACATGCAACGGTTCAATTCATGAGCGTGCAGGTTTTAAGCTTTTTCACATGCCTTTTCTGGTTAAGAGTCAAGGAATGGCTTTTTTGCTCTCTGACACCCTCAGTGTCCCTGAAAAAAAACAGTAATCGAACTGTCCACCTGGCCGTATTTAGCGGAGTGTTCCCTTCAAAAAGGATTTTGCAGGTAATCCACATTTTCTGGGATTTTCTGGGTAGGGTGTTGAACTGCAACTCACCGTGGAGAGACTGAGCCTACATTGAGCTGCTTGGCTTTAGGCTGCCTGTCCTGGAGACCAGGCGCATGGCATCTAAGGCTTGCTGGTCCGTGGCAAAAACGTACTCGACTCGACCTGATGGTGATGGCTCGCTGCTCCCCGTCCGTAGGTTGCCTGGCCTGTTAGGGTTTGACCCCGCAAAGCAAACCATCTTGGCAAAACCAATTGTTGGTTTACAGGTAGCTCCTGGCATCGCTACCAGGAACAAGCAGCTACTAGGGGCTCCTGGCCTTACTATATACTAGGAGCAAGGACGCTACTAGGAACAAAGGGCATCGCTACTAGGAGCAAAGGACGCTACTAGGAGCTTGGTTTGGAGATGTGTGGGGACTATCGGTGTGTTGATTTCGGGTTGGGTGATGCAGCAAGGAGGGCAGCCTCTACAATTGCTCTAGCAAAGGAGACGGAGTGAGGAATATAGGATCGGGATCCTCCATCGACATGCAGAATATTGATTTGTTCCTACGAGTAACATGAAACCAGCTAAGCCAAGTTCAGCCAAAAACATAAGGTGGACTAAGTAGATGGTACAAGACTGCAAAGGTGGTTTAAAGCGACCCCATCATATAAAAGACATGTTGGGGTTTGTGCCATCTACTCTGAAACCACTCTATACAGTCAGCCTTATAGTTCTGGAAAACATCCTGGCATGGGCTGGGACAAGAGGAGGACCAGGGAAGAGAGCATGCGAAAGCGCAAACATGAAGTTGGACTGGCTCAAGCATAGGGTACCATTCCTAGGCACTCCATGCGAATAGCATATTTACTTAGATTTGCTTAAGGAACCAACAAAAGTAAACATATTCCCAGAAAGAGGATTCACCCTGGCCCACAATTAGGGAAAACAACCATCGCCATCACCCCAGGGGTGGTTGACCCCCTGAGTGTCCCTCGAACAGAAAGGTTCACCAGGTTCACTAACCTTTTTCCACCTGATCTATTTTTAAGGGGGCCCAGAAGGATGTTGCAGGTAATCCACTGTGTTCCAGTGGGTAGGTTCCGGGGTCAATG